TCTTCTCCAGGTTGGCCCATCCCCCCTCCCTCAGCCTCTCCTCCTTGGAGAGATGCTCCAGTCACTTCACCATCTTGGTGGCCCTTCCCCAAGTCTTCTTTGAGGTTCTTCACAGCAGCCTGGCCAGCTTGTTGGGAAGGACCCACTTGGTCAGGTGAATCCCATCATCTCCCACCAGATCCAGCTCCTCAAATGCAGACCCAGCTTCTCAAAGGTAGACCCATGATCACAGAAGCCCAGACCTTGAGTATGGCACCAGCCCCGCAGGCAGGTGCTCCAGTTGCTTCATCATCTTCCCTGGGCTCTCTCCAGTATCCCCATGTCTCTCTCGTACTGGGAAGCCCAGCACTAGACCCAGCCCTCCAGGTGTGGCCTCACCAGCATGGAGGTGAAGGACGACCTCCCTCCACCCTGAGCCACCTTTGTGGCAAGGACTTGTGGTTCATGGTCAACTCAGTGTCCACCAGGACCTTTCCTACCAAGCCCCTTTCCAGCCCAGTGTCCCCACTGTGTCCTGGTGCTGGGGGTTGTCCCTCCACAAGGGCAGGACCTTGCCCTTCCCGTGGTAGAACCCCCCACGAGGTTCCTCTCAGCCCCTTTCTCCAGCCTGTTGAGGTTTCTCTGGGTGGCAGCAGGACCCTTTGGCATCTCGGCCACTCCTCCCAGCTTGGCGTCACCCACACCTTGCCGACATTCAGCCCGTTGAGGACCCACCTCGCTGCTTACCCAGTGCGTACCTCAACCGCTTCTCTAGAAGGATCTGATGGAAGAGTGTGGTCAAAGTCTTCCTGAAGTCCAGGTAGACCACACCCCCTCATCTGCTAGGCCAGTCGTTGCTTTGTAGATCTTCAGCAAGTTGGGCAAGCGTGATTTCTCCTTGGTGAAACCATGCTGGCTCTTCCCGACGTTCCACCTTGCCCTTCACGGGCCTGGAAATGGTGTCCAGGTCCCTCACCTTCTTTTTGGGAAGTCCCCGCCGGCCCCACAACCGCTGCTCCCCAGCGTCCCTTTAGCAGCGTGGGCAGGGAGGATAACCTGGACCATGGAGAACCTGGACCATGGAGAACCTGGACCATGGAGACCACCCCTTCCCTCATCCCCTCATTTCCACCAGGATCTTGAAGGCTTTTGTGGGCTCCCTCGGGTGCCGAGAAGGTGTCGCGGCAATGCTCCACCTCCGCACAGAAGCTCTCGGGGCCACCCCGTCACAGGGCGGAGCTCCCACCAGAAGTCCTTTGACCACCTTAAATGGTCCTCTCCGTGTGATGGAGTCTCACCAAATCATCCGTTCGGCTTCTCCCAAGGCCAAATTGAGAAGAAAGGGGCCCAAACCGTGCATCCTTTGGGTCAGTTGGGGTCCTCAGCATCCTGAGGAACGTCCAATGGGTGGGGTGGGGCCCTCAGGGCAACCTGAGGAACATCCAATGGGTGGGGTGGGGCCCTCAGGGCATCCTGAGGAACATCCAGTGGGTGGGGTGGGGCCCTCGGGGCACCCTGAGGAACATCCAATGGGAGGGGGGGGCCCTCGGGGCATCCTGAGGAACAACCAATGGG